CACGAAGGCTGCCTAAGTCTGCATCACATTTGAAAATAAGTTTCAAAATTATAATCCAGACCGGGAAAGACTGAGGGGAAATTGAAGAGCCTGGTGTGTTGCTGTTCCCCAGGCCCCCTCAAATGGATCTAAAAAGAAGTACTGGGCAGACTGACAAGATGAACTGGGCCGATCCAACCAGAGCAAGGAGTTTGGTGTACAGTACAGGCAGGGGACACTGTGGTCAGTTTTAATTAGAACAGAAGCCTGGTCAGGTGGCAGTATGGGCAGAGTGGAATGGAACCAAGTGAAGGTGGCATTTCCTGCACCGTCATAGAAAAGTGTATTAGAGAGTGTGAGGACAGGGGAGAAGAGCCCACAGCAGTGCAAGACTGTAAACAGGGAACAGTGTCTAGGAACACTTTCCTGGAGAGCATCTCGAAGAAACTAAAGCCGGGCATGGTGCCGCACACCTTTGATCCCAGCACTCAGGAAGGCAGAGGCAGGTAGACCACTGTGAGTTCTAGGCCAGACTAGTCTATAAAGTGAATCCAGGACAGCCATGGCTACACAGAGAAACCCTGTCTCAAAAAAAAAATTTTTTTTTAAAGTAAGATTAGGAGAGAAACATGCTCTAGATTCACTGTTGGGGATACCGGACTTCTCTAGAGGGCAATGTGAATCGAGGAGTGGGATGTTTTCCTTTAAGATATTAGTACCTGTGGCCCTAGCTTTCACAAGTCTGCATTTTTTTTAATGAATTCCTTCTTACACAGTTGGGATGGAGGCAGTCTCCTGGTAGCAGTGCTGTGGCAGGGAAATAAGAATGGTGTCCTGGGGTTTAAACCTGGCCCTGCAGAGGCTGCCCAGGAGGCCCAGAGCTCCTGCTTCTTCTTGTAAAATATATTCTAAGTCATCTGCTCCAGGCCGGCGGGAATTTGAAGAATGAGGCCTAAAGTGGGGAAGATTTGGGGAGTGGAGAAGGGAGGCAGTGGTCGCTGTACCATATGAGGTCCAAGGTCACGGTTAGGGCTGAGGGAGCCTATTGTACCCATCCATGCAAGGCATCCTAACGCCTGCATCCCAGCAGCCAGTTTTCTGAGCTGAGACCTTGTTAGGGAGGCAGGTTTAAGACCAGGCACTGACCGTGCTGCATCTCACTGGTTTAATGAGACACATTTAAGAAACTGGCCCGTTTTCTACAGAGTCGAAGTCATCGACTTCTGAGTAGAAATTAAGAATGTTCTAAATTAGCCCATGTCAATGTTTTAAAGATTTTTCTGAGGTGCAAATCATCGAGCTGCTCTCTGCCTTTATTGGGTTACTTAATGACAACACATCACCTTTTACCTCCCGTGCATGCTAGCCATGAAACTGGGGCCTTTCTTCTTCTTTTTCTTTCTTCTTTAGCTGGGAACATTTGGATTTCTTAGAACCAGATTTGCTCTAAATATATGAATCCCTATTTACCCTTCTCCCTGTTTCTAAAAAGAAATCTTAGAGGTTTTTAAGGTAAATCTCCTCTCTCCAGCTAGTGATGAAAGCACATTTGTGTCCTGTAACTACCACAGGGCAGCCTGTTTTCTAGTCTCACTGTTTTCTCTGAGTTCTACCCTCAGTTGACCAGCTCTCCCTGTGTCCCCAGCACTCCCCAGTTGTACGTGGTGTCAGTCTGCATTTGATTCTCTAGCACTTCCCATGATTGAGCATGGTCTCGGGTGTTCCATAGTCTCCCCACGACCAAGACTGCAGTTTTTCCATCACACTGATATAACAAAGTTTCTCTGAATAGTGCTATTACCTCTTACCATGATAGTTTAAGGCTATAATTTAAAACAAGGACCCCCCCCCCCGTTTCTGCCTCTGTCTCTGTGTCTCTGCCATTCCTTTCATTCAGCAATGCTCTTACAAAGCACAGTCCTTTTGTATATTCCCTGCTAATTAATTTCCTTTTAAACATACAGTTTCTTGGGCTGGTGAGATGGCACAGTGGGTAAAAATTTGACAGCTCGTGTTTGACCCCCAGATACCATGTAGAAGGAGAAAACTGTTGTACTTTAATCCCTCACATGACCTTGTATGCACACATGAACACACATATAACAGTTTAAAGAAACTGTACATTTTCTTAGTGTTAGGCCACAACTATAGTTTTTGCACTTGAGATCAACATTTGAGCAGATGCTTATGTGACACTGTATGGTGGGAATCTGTAAGTGAGAGCACAGTGAAACCACCAAACTGGACCTCTCTATGGTTGGAAAGGTTTATCTGGGGAGATTCAAACTGCCAAGGCTAACTCTTGGGGTACGGTGGGAGTGAATCTATGAGCTGGAACAGCCTGGGAGTTGGAGCAGGGGGTGGGCCTTTGATGTCCAGAGCAGCCTGGGAACTACTTAGGAACTTTGATCTGTCATTATAGGTTTGTTTGAATTAGTAGGGAACCAGACACCTTTTATCACACATAGTTGACTGTAGTAGGGGACAGATTGGGAATTATGGCTGTTCATAACAAACAGAAACCCACTTCACAAGGTGTCTGAGGAATGCCGAGTATAGCTTCTGTTTATCTGTTAGCAATCTTTCTGTTTACCCAGAGTCTGGCCTGTGCTCAGCCCAGACTGTCATTTATGGCATTGTCAGCGTCACCACCATTCTAGGACCTGTTTTGTACCTAACAGCACCTGCTCCCACAATTTAAGGACTTGGTGATTTAGAGTTAAATAATACATTTGTCTCAGTTAGATTATGCACGTGTCGTCTGAGGCCATGTGCTCTTGGTATGTAACATTTAAAGTCTAGAAGTTGGACCCTCCCCGTGGTCATAGTTTTGGACAGGCAAGCAGGTTCAATATTTGCTTTTCACACATAAAAAGCATATGCCTGGCAAATTCCTGCAGGCATTGACTTTGCATTTCAGTGAAAGATTGTATCTATAAGGTACCTTTAGTGAAGACTGGCTCTTTCTAGCCATGCTATTTGTTAATAGCATCTGTTAAAGCCACAGTTGTGAGATGTGTTTTTGGTAAAATGTCTTTTGGCCCATCTCCACGGTATGTAATTTTTACTGTTAACGTCAGAATGTCAAGTGTGTGTTGGGCATGTTGTGGTATTGAGAATATTTTTTTTTCCATGAAATAGTGTATATGATTGGAAAGCAAAGAAATCTAGGTCAAGCATGACGGCATGCTGGGGAACTTTTTTTTTCACCTCCATGGTGAGGCAGTACCAGTTCTATCCAGCAGCTTGCTTCTGGGAAAATAAGGAAACCTGTGTTTTTTGCTGTGTGGCTTCCTTCCATTGAGAGAACCCTGGGGGAGCCATATGGATTATCAGGAAGAAAGCTTTCCACACTTTCATTTAAAATACAGGACACAACTAAGCCTCTACATAACTGTGAACACAGCCATTGCAACAACTGTGGTGATGGCCAGGGGGAGGAAACGCAGGGCTCTTGTCCTCAGACACAGGGAGCTCCTTGTCTTCAGAGCCTGAAGGAAAAATACTTGAGGACAGGACTGGAGCTGCTCCTGTCAGAGTTTAAAGCTGTTAAAGTTCACGCTTAAGACCTTCAGTTTTCCCTGTGAAATAAGATGTGTCTCAAAGGTAAACAACACCAGCAAAAACCAGACCTTCAGTAAGTTCTTACAGATTATCCCAGTAGTCTATATCTAGGACTGAAGTCTCATTCAAAAAGAGGGGAAAATTGACAGCAGGACTCTAATATGGAAATAAATCTAACATGTAAACCATGCAGGTGTGTTAGCATTTAGTTAAATGAACCAAAGGGCCATTTCAGCTTAGAGGGCTGAGAAATACCATCCTGCATGTCTTTGGAGTTTTTGCATGTCCAGTGGACATCTCTCTCTGATGGCCTGTTTTTCCCCACACTCCATAGGATAATTACCTGTCCGGAGTGAGAATTATTCATTTTTGTGCTGATTGGTCTTTTAACAACAAAATAACCCCTTCCTCCATAATCTCTTTTTTTCTCTGTCTGGTAAATCTCTCCTATAACTCGGTTCAAATATTGCCTCTGAACTTATTTCCAGCCCTTGAATCCTCCTCTGCCTTTGGGTAGGAAGCACCCTTTCCTTTGTTGAGACTATTGATCATGCCATCTCTTTCTCATCCTTGCTTTCTACCCGCCGCAAATCACGAGTCTTCAGCTACTCCTGTAATACGGCCAGTGCTGCCTGTGCCTGAGCTATCCATGAAGGGCTGTAGAGCCAATCTCATTCTGCATCCATGGGGGAGGCTTGGGTTGGGAGACGGTGCCCACCTCAGACTGGCTGTTCAATGATACAATAACGTTAAAAAAAAGTAGTGACTGATCGAATGTTCCTCTGCGATCTGGTCGTAGATGCAGTTAGGTAAGGTTAGCACTTCTTCCTGCACCCGTTAGTTTTTAGTTGGGATTAGTGACAGTTAGAACTCAGGATGTTAATGTTAAATGTACACTTGTCCACCAAAAAGTTAGCAATGGCTGGATTTGGGGTATTTATGCTTTTGTTAAAGTTTGACTTCAAATATGCTCTTTCATTATTCGACTATATATATAATATAATTTATATAAATATATATATACAAATCAAGCATATATTTATACATATATAGAGAGAGGACATTTTCATTTTTAATGCAGACAGAACATGAATCAGAAAGACACTTCTAAGAAATAAATGCTTCATTATAACCCAAAACTAGTCCAGGCTGGATCCAGATGGATCAGTCTGTAATAAATATCAGTAATTTAGGCAGTTTTTTTTTTTCTTTTTACTGCAGGTCTATGGGGCTTGCTAGCGCCCTGGCCCCCCTTGCCACATAGTACCTTACAAAGTTGCTACAGTCTGCATAGAGAGATGAAAGTGACCCTCCAGCTATGACCTGGACGTGGTCATGACGCTTGCCTTGGCCAAAGTCAATAAAATAGTGTGAGCTGTGGGGCCAGCAGCTGGAATTGATATGTAACAAGCACCAGTTGACCAGGCCAACATGACTTTTAACTCTTCCTGTTTCAGTTACTGTAACGAGTGCATGCTGGATCCAGACTGCGGCTTCTGCTACAAGATAAACAGTTCAGCTGTCATTGAGTCTTCCTGTGTTCCAGTAAATAAAGCTTCTACAAATGAGGCAGCCTGGGGCAGGTATGTCATGCATTGCTTACCATGACAATGTCATCCAGTTTCAAAACGAGCCTGTTCTATTAGCTTGTACTCATCGTACAAGAAGTGGAATGTGTGGTGTTCTCTTGAATATATATAAGACAGTTTGATTATATTAACTCCTACTTCATTCTCCTATGCTCCTTTCCCTCCTGCTGGTTATCCCTGCCCTTCCCCCACTTTCCCTAATAGTCTCTTCTACTTTCACATCTTAAAAAAATAATAATAATCAAGATTTTAGTCCTGGAAGATAACCCAACAGGTAAAGGTGCTTTCTACTAAGGCTGAGCTGAGTCCCCAGGACACACGATAGAAGAAGATAGACATGCAAGGGATACTGTGACTTACACACACACACACATACACACACACACACACACACCTCAGAAAGAGAGAGAATGTATTTTTAAAGAAACTAAAAATCCAGATTCACTGTACGAGAGAAGACACGTTATTAGTCAGTGAGACTGGTTTTCAGCCTGCAGAATATGTATGGTGCAACAGGGCCTTTTTCATGCACCTCTGGGAAAAGGTTTTGTAGCATGTCCTGGTGATTCAGAAATACTTCATGTTTTAAAATACAGAAGAAAGTGCTCAGATCCCATGTGCTTGGAAAATACTCTTAGTATTAAACAAGTTTCCCCAGCACGGCCACCGGGCTTTGGATGTTTAGTTGAAGCAGGTGTTTTCTTGAATCAGCAGGGCCGTTTCTCCCACTCCAGATTGTAATTTCCAAACTGTAATTTTCTGAACCCAAGTGAAGGGCAGTTCTAAAGTCAAAATAAGTTAGCATCACTTTAAATTATTTAACAGAACTATTTTCCCCTGGAGTTTTTGTGGCTCAATGAAATTAGCCAGAATCACCATCAGAATGTACCCTGCCTAAAAGCTATCAGCATTTCTGTTTGGGACAGAACACATTGCTTTATCATGAACACTCTCAGCCAAACCCCTTGTATCTCCAAAAATCAATGATGGGTCTTAAACTGGAGACATCTGTAGAGCCACGTTGGAAGGAAAAAACAGGAAGCCCAGTAAAGGTGTTTGCCTCACAAGCCTGATGAATTGGGCTTGATTATGTAAAGGTGGATGGAGAAACAGATGTCACAGACTTGACCTCTGACCTCGATACGCAAACACCGTCACCCTACTCCCACCTCAAGTGCAAGTAATAATATATATATATAATTTGAAAAATGAGTAAGGATATGGAGAGCTGGTTCAGTTATTAAGAGCAGGTACTGCCCTGGCAGAGGGCCTGACCTCCGTTCCTACCATTCATGTCAGGAAGCTCACTACCTATAACACTACCTTCAGGGGATCTGTACCCTTCTTCTGACCTCCATGTGCCCTGCCTTTGTGGGCACAAAATCTACACTCAAATATAGACATGCATATACATAAAAATAAAATCTTAGAAAAAAAGTAACAGCCAAATTGTCAGAACACAGAAGCCATGGCATTTTCCATGGAAAGCATCTCTTTTCTGGTCTGTGACAGTGTCACTCTGTGTTCTTTTTCTGGCTGATCTCCAAATCCTCCTGCCTCAGACTTCTAGGTGTTAGATTCATAGCCATGAGCCACCATGTTTAGAGGAAAGCAACTTCTGATTGATATGGGAGGAGAGGCCAGAGGAATGAGCCATAACACTCAATGAAAGTGAGAAAACAACCAGGTATGAAAGATGGGCAAATAAAATCTAAATAACCAGCATTACCAAAACAGAGAATTTAACATAATAAGCTTAAAAGAAATAAAGGATATATTTTATACTATACTCAACATTGTACACTTAAGAGGCACATCATGAATGTGAATGTCTATATGTTGCATTACGTCATAATCCAGCACATTTTGCATAGACACAATACTTAAGAAACTAACATTCAAGGCAAAAGTATAAAACGTGGTATGAAAATTGTATGTGTGTGATCTGTTTGAAAGATAAGCTACTAAATGAAATGGCAAAACAATCAAGCTAAGAAAGATTGGAAACGGGGAAATTTACAAAAATATGGTTTTGAGAAATCACAGAAAATTAAACATTTAAACCCATCTACAATAAATCATTTAGATACACTGATTAAAGACAAGAATATTTAGACTGAAAATTTAAAGATATATTTTTACACCATTTGTAAACAATATCCATAGAAATGTTGGAAATTGTGTGGAAAAAATTATGCGCTAAGTCAAGAAGACAAAGATAGCAGAAATCAGAGAATTTGGGAATCTTACCAAATTTAATACAATAGTTAGTCAGCCTAACTGAGAAGTTCATTCAGTTTGAACCAACATAGAACACCTGCAAAAATGTGTTACGTTTAATAAAAAAAAAAGTAAATTTATCAAGTATATTAATATATACTCAAATAAACTGTAAGTAAATCCAGATACTATCATGCAGACATGCCTTCTGACCAAGGGAGATATTTATAACCCTTTCCAAATTAGTTGAGAAACTAAAAACAAAAGTCCAAATTGAGAACAGGTCATAGAAGCTGGACAGGTGGCTCAGTGGTTGAGAGCGCTTGCTGCTTTTGCAGGGAATCAAACTTCAGGTCCAGTCCTGGCAGCTCACGATGCCTGTAACTCTAGCCTCAGGGATCCAACAACCTCTTCTGGCCTCTGTGGGCACCTGCACACATGTGACACACACACATTCGTGAATGTAAATAAAACAATATATAAACCTTAAAAAAATCAAATGATGGAAAACAAAAGATAAAGTTTACAGCTACACAGGCTTGCAAGAAGTAGAACCAGAGCACAGTGTAGTTTTGTGCAGGAAGGTACAAAACTCAAGAGCAGCCAGTCCTTAGAAAGGTCTGTACAGTTGAAGAAAACTCTTAAGATTACAGTTCTGGCCAGGACAAGAGGAAAGGCATAAGCAATATTTAAAATGAAAACACGTGCAAAAGACAACAGGCTTTTTGACAGTCATAGAAGTTCAGTGAATAGTGCATTTGAAGGTCCATAAAAAGTTTTCAAGAAAAAGTAGAACTTTCTAGCACAAGCTCAGAACATCTTTGAAGTGCCATAGCTATTCGGCATGTGAAATTTCTGATTCAAAAGGTAAGCCCACCTTGTTTGGAACAGCTGCAACTAAGCACTGGAAATATTCTCCGCTAAGAATGTGATGGATATCTTTACATGGTGCTAGGACAACTGGTCCTCACCAAGTCCTGCTCCCAGCTCTAGACTGGTAGACTGAGAGTAGCTGCTCTATTGGTTCTTTAAAGGGTTTCTAAGCAATGTAAGGTTATAGCAACGTAGAAATGTCCTGTACAGGTGTGTGTGTGTGTATGTGTGTGTGTGTGTGTGTGTGTGTGTGTGTGTGTAACACACATCATTATCTAACTGATCAATGCATTAGAATAGTTCTCATTTATTCTATGTGTCTCTTCCTCCTCCTCCATACCTCCCAGCTCTCTGTCTACACAAAAACCATAAATAATCTATTCTGGAATATCAATGCTAACTAAAAATACCATTAATGAGGGACACTTTCTTAGCGTGCTGGTTCAGTATTTGTTTCCTATAACACAGCACTTTAGCTCTGTAATTAGAAGCACGAGAATAGCTGGGTAGAGTCGCTCTTTGGCAGTTCATTGTTCACAGCATTCATTCAGCTGAGATATTTTCCTCACTGCCGAGCTTCGCTACAGCGTGCAGCCTGTTGGCTCTGCATCCCACCACTTGCCTGAACAACATGTACTCAAGGCTACACCTCTCGCCGGTGCCCTGATGTCCTTAGTGACTTTCCTCTTCCTCTGCATCCTGCCTGGGGTTAACCATTTCTTCTTTCATCACTGCCTAAATTTTAATAATCATTTTGTCCAAAGAAGACGTTTGTCAGTTTTTGCTTTGCATTCTGTCAGAGTAGGCTACAAAACAGAGCATATGTCTACCGCTAACCTTGTGGTAGCCTAGCAACAAGAGAACTGTTATGGCCACAACAAATCACTGATCGTTATGAGGCACGACTTGACACCACTTGACACTTGATAGTGTGTTGCATCCTGGTCCAGGAACTTCCAGGAAAGGCTATTTCCACAGATGCAGCTCTCACAGACCTTAGAGCAAAGCTCATCTCACACTAACATGGTAGCCTCCCTCTATAAAATGAAGCCTAGCCTCTCTATGACAGCTGATCCGGAATGAATCCAAGCCTAGCAAGAGGGGAGCATCATCCAAACTCAGATTTCAGTGTCCAGATGAGATGCCCCAACAAGCATCATCTGAAGTCTGGGATAACTTGGCTAGTGACTTCATGGTCCCATGGCAGCACTCTGTGCTCAGATGTGTCTTCTTGCCTAGACGCTAAGTCCCAGGGCTGTGTCCCATCCCATTCAACATGCTCGATTTGCTTTGGGCAATAGTGAAAAACCTGAGAGGGTTTGCAGTACATCAGAATTTCAAAGGAGACGATTCAGGGTTTTGATGATTTCATTCTAGTTACCTTTGTGTAAATGTTTCCAAAACAGAAAAAGTGTAAAAGAAAATATGGCAATCAGACAGTTTTGATTAATACATTCTGGTTACCTGGGACTTTAAAATGATAAATAGTGCTCCAATAAAATTGAATCACGTAGTCTAGAATGCATAAAGCCACACTCCAAGAAAAATACTTAAGAGCCGATGGAAGATGTCCAACAATTTCCTTAGAGAGTCCCCTAGTACGCCAAGCTGCGGCGGCGGCATAAAACCGTGCACACAGTACAGAAATTACTGAGCAGAAAAGCAAAGGTTTTCCTTTCATGACCTTCTTACGGAATGTCTTCAAAGTGTGCATCCATTATGAATTCAGAAAAAGAAACAGTGCTACTGAAACATAGTCTGCACGGATATGTATTATTAGATATGATACATTCCTGTTACTCAATTACAAGATAGAAAAACCTCCAGCTATATTCCTGATGACAACATAATTCATAGTTAAATATTGCCAGCTTATACTTTACAGGGAAGTAAACTGTCTG